AGCGAACCGCAACAATTGCGAATTACATGGATAGCTTTCTTAAATTTCTACAAGCGAGTAGTTGTGTCGACCCCGGTGTGTTTCCAGGGGAACCAGGGGAAAATTTCAAAGAATTTTCGCGAAGGTTGGAAATATGGGTCGTCGGGATACAGTGATAAGACACTATTGGAAATATTGGCAGATGACCACCTGGACGAAAAAACTAAAAATGTATTCTTGGCAATACCCCAAAAGCAGGTAGGAAAAGAGTTCGAAGCGGTAGTGAGAGAGCTGGATAAGTTGCTTTCAAATGAGTCAGCAGCCGCTAGAATGAGAGCGTTAAATGAGTTACGGAGCTTGAAATTGAGGTCAAATCAGTCAGTTTCGGAATTCTGTGTAGTGCTGAAGAAATTGGCTTGCAAAGCTAATCCTAACTGTGCTATAACAGAAAGGTCGTTGGAGTACGCGCAAATACTGTTGGATAACCTAAGAGAATGGCCGGAACATGTGCAATTGTTGAGTTTGCTACATAGGTCAGACCCGAGTAACGCATATATAACGAGATCAAGCAACTAGCTATAACGATAGAGCAAGCGAGAATAGTGTACGGGACGGGGCGAAAGGGCGTGGTGACAGGTACAGAGTGGAAAAAGGGCGCAGGCATACAATAGCCATCGGGAAAGTGATCGGTTCAGACCGCCCAACACTGTAGAACGCCAGATAGGATACGCCGATAAAAGGAAGGAAGGTGTTGAGACCCGCAAGTGTTTCAACTGCTCGAAATTCGGGCATATTGCTCGGAACTGCCCGCTAGGAAGACCCGTGGTGAACAATATAGTTGAGAATAGAGCAAAAACGAAGGACAACAGGAAAGACACGGATTTCGGATCTAGTGCGTCAGACAAGGGCGATGGGAGTGGTAGTAGAAAAAGGCTCTGCTACAACCAACGTAGTCGGAAAGAAGTCGACAACATGGGTGAGTATGCTGAATGGAAGAGTTCAATGATCGACACAGGGTCAATGATAAGCATCGTTCCAATAGGACTCTTGGCTAGCACTCAAGATAATGGCTTTGACGTTGACTCCCTCACCGTAATCGATCGGGAAACACTTGAGCCGGTGTATGATGCCTCCAACAACGAGGTGCAATTACTTGGTGGAGTTTCAATAGTGGTAAAAATCGAAGGCGGATCTGAGTATAAAGTTGAAGGAGAAAGATCGAAGGAGAAAGGTCATGAGGTGCTACTCGGAACAAACGCACAGGGAAACTTAGGCGTTGAGATCCACCTGCCTGAAGCACCTTCATGCCCCATACAAAGGTAGAGCCATAGCGGGAAAGTCACCGTTGCAAGAGGGACCTACATACCGCCATACAGCTCGGCTCTGGTATGAGCACGTTGTGATACTGACGAAAGTTCTGTTGAACGCATTACATGGCCTACTTCGAATGGAATGGCGGCAGGGGTGTTTAAAATAGAGAACTGTGAATGTGCGATTCCGGTAATAAACAAAAGAAGCGAACCAGTGATATGGAGAGAAGGTGATGAGAGTGGACGCTGGAGTATTTAGAAATGGAGAGAAGGATGGGATGAGCTGAAGCCAGTGCTGTTAGAAGAAACCCATAGAGGGCCCATAGAACCAATGGCCAGAAAACAGAAACTGTTAACGCAAACTTCCCAAAACAGGTCTTCCAAAGAAATCCCCGAAGATATCCGGATACTGCTGGACGAGGAACGGGAAGCATTTGCGGGGTGTGACCAGGAACTTTCGGCCACTAGCGAAGTCGAAATGGATGTAGACACAGGGGATCACCCACCCATTAAGTTGAAAGCTAGACCTGTCCCTCTAGCAATGCGAGCTAAGTTGGAGGAAATGCTGAATGATCTCGTATCTAGGAGAATTATCGAAAAAAGTGCGTCGGCATGGGCTTTTCCCAACGTTTTGGTGGAGGAGAAGGACAGCAGCCTTCCACTCTGTGTTGATTACCGCGAACTAAACAAGTGCATCCGTCAAGACGAGTACCCGATGCCGACGATAGACGCGATGTTACAGAGCATGAGAGCATGGCCGGTAAAAGTTATTTTTCGACCCTGGACCTTTATTGCGGATATTGGCAGATTTCGCTTACACACGAGGCAAGAGAAAAGACGGCTTTCGCAACTACAGAACTGTTTCAATTCAGGGTCACACCATTTGGCCTTAGTATTTCGCCTGCGGTATTCCAAAGAATGATGGACACAGTCCTAAAGGATATGTTGGGTAATGAAGTATTCTGTTATATCGATGATATAATGATTTGTACTAGAACGAGAGAAAGGCATCTAGAACTTTTGAGAGCAATGTTTACAATGTTGATAGAAGCAGGATTTCGATATAAGGCAGAAAGTGCGCGTTGATGGAAACGAAAGTGTCTTTCCTTGGGCATGTAGTCGATGGAGCTGGTATCCACATAGATCCACGCAAAGCTGAAGCGGTAAAGAATTATCCTGTCCCCAAAGTCATGAGAGAGTTGAGAACTTTCCTAGGAATGGCAGCTTTTTATCGGAAGTTTTGCTTGAACTTTGCAAAGACATCCAGTCCACTGCTCGAACTGACCGCATCAAAGCGAGCATGGAACTGGACGTCAAAGTGCGGTGAGGCATTTAAAAAGGTGAAAGAGTTCATTTGCCCGGCACCGGTACTGAAGCAGCCTGATATGGAAAAAGCAAGGACTGGTGGAACACCCTTCGTTATTTACACGGATGCATCAACAACAGGGCTGGGAGCATTCCTTGCACAAGGGGACGAGGACAAATACCTGCACCCTATATACTTTGCATCGAAAGCCTTATGTAGAGCTGAAAAACGGTACCACGTGACCGATCTGGAGGCCTTAGCCGTCATGTTTGCAATAAAACGATTCCATAAGTTCATTTATGGCGTGCCCACGACTGTCATGACGGACCATCAACCACTGACTGCTTTGTTTAAGCGGAGTAACGTTTCTGCACGAGTACTCAGATGGTCGCTCGAAGTGCAACGATATAAACTGGAGATCAAATACGTGAAAGGGCAGGCAAATATGATAGCTGACGCGCTGAGCAGAGGCGTACGAGTGGAAAGGGAGGCCGAGTTTCTGCAGGGATTGAATAAGGCGGTCGTGAATGTATTAACGGTAGGCAAAAAGACAAAATGGTTGGAAGAATTGGAGGAAGATGAAGATTTTTCGCTAGTATTGGATGCGTTAAGGAAAGATGACTTAAACAGGACGTTGAGAATGCGTGGCACAAACAAATGGATACGAGTCGCAGACTTTGTTATGAAAAACGGAAGTCTTGAAATGTATACTGAAGAAGGCGTCTTAGTATGTGCGGTCCCGAAAAAGCGCAAGATACGAGGTTTTCATGAAGCCCATGCGGATGAATTAGCAGGCCATTTTAGCGCGTTCAAGCTGCTAAAGAAAATGCGCAAGGAAGTGTTTTGGCCAACCATGACGCAAAACTTAAGTAGATGGACAAAGGAGTGTCAGCGCTGCTTTGTCCTTAACCCAAGACCAGTAGGAATTCCGCCACTGAAGCCGATAGTGACCACGAAACTGTATGAATTGATAGGCGTGGACGTGCTAGAATTGGGACTGACCTCAAGCGGGAATAAATACACGGTCACAGTGGTTGACCACTTTTCAAAATTTGCACAGGCATATCTAACAGCAGACAAATCTGCCGAAATGGTAGCGAATGTAATTTTTGAGCGTTGGATAGTTGATGGCTGTAGATGGTCCAAGGCAATATTATCTGTTAAAGGAGATGAGTTTGAAAACAGGGTAATGGAAGAGTTGACGAAAGTTACTAAGATTCAGCACATTACGACGAAAGGTTACAATCCACTCGAGGATGGTATTACCGAAAGGTTGAATGGGACCATTGTCGCAATGCGGAGGAGGCCAACCGCGGTACCTACCGAGTGGGACAAGAGACTGCTGTTCTGTATGCTTGCATACAATATGACCCCTCATAGATCGACAGGAGGCAGTCCCTATTTTTACTGCATGGGATGGACCCTTACTCCCCGTTAGGAACTATACCGAATAATGAAATGTCGTGGTACGCGTTAGAAAAGCTATGGACGATTACAAAGTAGGTTTGATACAACACATAGCAGAAACTCACGAAAGAGTGCGGGAGTATAATGATCGCGTGAGGGAAACCAATAAAAAGGCGTATGACAACAGAAATAAAGTAGACCGAGAAAGGCTCCCGAAGTCAGGAGATGGAGTGTATTTACTATCACCCAGAGAGAAGGCGCTAAGTTCGCACCCCAAGTTAGCATGCGAGTGGGCTGGACACTTTCGGATGATTGAAGTGGGAGATAACTCCGCAATTATTACGCTAATAGGGGAAAACACGGAACCCATGAAGGTTCAATGCGATATGCTAAGAATAGTGCCAAACCAAATATCTGAGGAGAGAATCGACTCAATTACTCACAGGGGAAAAAGAGGCAGGAAGACGAAAGCGAGGGTGAATAAATTGGAAGGCTCTTATAGCAGAGGCGCTGTAATCGAGTCAAGAGATTGCAAAGGACACCTATAATACGAATGCAAGGACGGATGCTTGAAAAATGCATGCTTCGGAGACCTGAAAGACATCATGTTTCCAGGGGTATTCGCGAAGGACCATTAGGCTCACTTTGGCGTGCTTGGATCGCCGCCAGCATTTTTATAGGGAACGACATGAACACGGCTAAGAAGATCAAGGCATGGAAAAAAGGGGTGATTTGTCTGGATGCCGAAGCCCTGCAGAGAGTTTTGCGACTGGCATATGATCGCTGGAGAGACTGGACCGATTCCCTATATGTGACAGATGGAATATCGAAACATGGAAGGATCGATGATTACTGCTTCGACAGGACTTATGATGAAGCGTTGAAAAATTTGAAACGCGATTTGGATTAACAAGAGAAAAACCGGCGGTCTAAAAAGCAGGGTCCGACCGCGTTTGCGGGGCGAAAAAATGCGCTGTTATTGGAACGGGACGGCTCACGTCGTGGAATTATAGCAAAGGTTGCTACGTCATTCGAAAAACTGAGGGACGTCCTTGGTGAACTAAAGGCATGTTCGACGTGGATGATCGTTTGGCCACTGGACACACACTTCACGGATGCGCAGATATGTGAAACCCTCCGCAGATGTCATCAGCAGCTCAAAGAAGGAGGGCGCATAGTGTCCGTATTTCCACCTCTGATGGAGTCAAATCGAGCTACTTGGAGACAACTTACGGAGTTGTGGCAAATGATCGAAGGCGCACTACAGAAAAAAGCGGGACCATCCTATTTCTAGAGTACGGCCAGCCGCAACATCAACGGTGGCAAAGTATTTAATGAGGCCGGCGCACCGGAAGGGTGTTTGAACTTCTACGGGAAAAATCTTGGTATTGGAAGCGCAAAAGCGTTATACGAGTGCATCAGGAATTGCCTAAAGGAAGCAAATTTACCAGAGTTAAATCCACTCGAAGTTGCGCCGACGAGGGCGCCGGCTCCCAGAGGGGGGAGGATGTGGATCACAAGATCGCGCTGGAGGGACCGCGAGGGTTTCCCGCCGCCGCCGGAGATCAAGAGGGTCAGGAGCTCACTATAAAAGAGAAGCGTTTCTTCTGAGGTGGACGCCCTCTTGTCTTCGCCAGACTCCTCAGACCCCCCATCGTCGGTCGCCTAGCCCACACACCATTGTTTTCTTTTTGTTTTTTGTGTTCGCGTTTCTGTTTATTGTTCTATTGCAGTAATTTCTATTTTGTTCGCGGTGTTTGCTTTGAACA